CTGGTCTCTAGTTACTACCTACTACTTACCATTCCGAGTACTTGCTACTTGCTACTTACTACGTACTGCTTACTGCTTGCTACTACTACTACTACTACTACTACTACTACTACTACTACTCCTGCTGCTACTGCTGCTGCTGCTGCTGCTGCTGCTGCGACGGTTGCTGAGGTGGTCGTGGTAGCTGTTCGGTAGTGTCAGTTTCGCAGGCGTTGACATCCATGGTTCAATGATACAGGGAGAAAGCTTGCGCCAGGCGACAGAAGGGGTGGCAAGGGCGGCCGCGACGGCGGCCGGGGAGGCGACGGGGCACGAAACGAAGTGCAGCGCTTCTGATTCGTGTCAATCTTCAGCACCCGAGTATCGGCACACCTCCAGTTGAGACTTCCTGCCTGCGGCTTTCGGTGTTATTCCTTCCTCCTTCGCCGCTGCCCGTCTCAACTCCTTCTGCTGCTCTGGCTGTCGTTTCAAACCTTGCTTCTGCCTCTCACCTGAACCCGAAATCTCCAGTCTCGACCCAAACCCCAAACCCCAAACCCTAAACCCCAAACCCTAAACCCTAAACCCCACACCCCAAACTCCTCAGCCCCAAACCCCAAGCCGCCTTTTCCGGCTTCGCAGATCGACGAGATAGCGGCTCTGCCAGAGATAGAGGCGCCGGCCCCAGCTCTTCACTCTGAGGCCACAGCGCCACTATATCCCTAGGGCTTCTGATGTGAAATGAGACCTGTGGGTTCCAGATTGTAGTTACACTATATTTAGGGTTTAGGGTTCGGGTTTAGGGTTTAGGGCTTAGGGTTTAGGGTTTTGGGGTTTAGGGTTTAGGGCTTAGGGTTAAGGGTTTTGGGGTTTAGGGTTTAGGGTTTTTGTATAGACTATGGGTACTATGACCCATAGGACTCCCGGGGGCTCCTTGTTTTCATCCAGATCTCTCTCAGCCCCGCAGGGCAGACAGTCGAGAGCCACGTTGCAACGAAGCCCGAGCACCAGCTATCCTCAGCTGGGACCTGTTCCTTAAAGGAACCATTATAAAATAAAGTTCTAGGTTACTTCGAAGCCCAGTCAGGGTTCCTGATTCTCATTCGGCAAAGAGCATAACCCCTAAACCCTACTCCCAGGGGGCCTCGATGTCTGAGGGTTTTTACAAGGTGTTGTCTTTTTTTTTTTTGCGTGGGGCGGTTTAGTAGAGGCAGCAAGATTTGAGCGTAGCTTAGGAGACACACCCCAAAAGGCTCCCAAACCAAAACCAATATCCGAAAACGCAAACCAAAAGCTTGAAACCGCTAAGAATCCTCCCCATGAAACAGCCCGCAACAAGTTTTGGAACATAAGATCATAAAACCCTTGCTGACACTAAGCGCCCTACGCCAAACCTGCAAAAAAGGCCCCACACGAAAGACACCTTGAAATCCTTGAAAAACAAGAGAAAACATACTGAAATCAGCACCTTAAGCTCCTTCATCCTCGATAGCATTCGGGAGACCTCTGAAAGGGGACCCTTCTTAACCCTAATTACTTTTGGCTCTCTTAAAAGGGACCTTATTGAGCTGGTCCAGATCGCCAAGAGTTCCCCTGGCCCTAATCCTAACTCCCACCTGCTAAACCCTAAACCCTAAACCCTAAACCCTAAACCCTAAACCCTAAACCCTAAAACAACCCTAAGCCTAAACCCGCAACCCAAAACCGTCGAGGCCGAGCTCGCAGTCGGAGCCCGCGGAGAGCGCCGCCCTCCCACGGCTACGGGCCCCCGCCCGCAGGGTGGGGACCCCGGGACCCCTAGGAACCTCGAGGGTTTAGGGTCTAGGGTTTAGGGTTTAGGGTTTAGGGTTTAGGGTCTAGGGTTTAGGGTTCAGGGTTTAAGGTTGAGGGGTTTTTGAGGGTTCTTATTGAGTTGAGATGGGGTTTTGAATTGTTTTTGATAGTGCTGCTAGGGACTTAGGGTGTGTCGCAAGGTTTGAGGGTTTTTGGGCGTTACGGCAAGGGCTTGCAGCCTGTAGGGCTGAGGGTTATTGGCGTGAACAGCCCGAAACTTTCTTGACGTTTAGAGCTTCACGGCTTTTCGGTTTTCGGGTTGAGGGTTAGGGGTGTGGACTGGATGTGTTGAGAGCTGTTAGAGTTTCGGGGTTTAGGGAGCCCTCAGGCTTTTTTTGCTGATTTCTCCATTGGGTTTAGGGCTTTGGGCTTTGCTTTGAGGACTAGGGTTTAGAGTCCGAGAAGTAAGGCCAGGAGGCCGTAAGCTCTAAAATAAAAAACCCTCAACCTTGAATAGTAATAGTTGCATTGAAAACAGTCGCAATGGTAGGAATACTAGCAATACCAGTGCCATGAACAGCTCGACCCTGCAGCTCTAAAGCCCTGAGCCTTATGCCTCGTTAGGTATGCTCCGCCCCCGGGCTATGGCCCGCTACCGGGCTATCCCCCAGCCTACGGCGACTTGGCGTAGCGAAAGTTTTGGGGGATGATGCAGTTTTCGGTCTGAGTTTCGGACCCTACGGTTTAGGGTTTAGGGTTTGTACCCCACCAGAAAACCCTTACCACTACACCCAAAACAAGTTAAACTTTTTTGGAAACCTTAGACCCCCAACCCTCATACTAAAGTTCAATCCCGGCAAGAGGTTTCTCTGTAAACTGGACGCCCTCTTTGGTAACCCTGAAGTCTAAACGCGGAAAGATATTTTTCTAAAATAAACTTGCTTTGTAACCCTGAACTCTAAACCCGGAAACTCGAGCCCAAGAGCCGTAAACTCTGAGCCCGAAAATCCAGCGCCCGGAAGCCGGGGGCCAACTACATCTTTGGTTTAGGGGTTCAAGGGTTTCCTGGGTTTAGGGTTTAGGGTTTCGGGTTTGGGTTGGGGGTTTCGGGTTTTAGGGTTTTGGGGTTTGGGGATAATTGGAACAGGATCTTGCAAAACATAGGAGCTATGAGTTGTAATATGACGACCCCGGCCTGCATCTTAGGCTTCTTTAGTTATCGGACAATCTGACCACCTACGAACCCGTGCAGGGTGTGACGGCAGGGTTTTGGCATTGGGAGTTTGTTGTCAACCAAACCTTATAAAACCCTAAACCCGAAACCCTCAGCCCTTTCTTCAACCCTAAACCCTAAGCCTAAGTCCTTTCTTGAACCCGAAACCCCAAACCCCAAGCCCGTTTTTGAACCCTAGACCCTAAACCCGCAGCCTTTTCCTGAGTCTTAGACCCCAAATCCCAAGCCCCTTTTTGAACCCAAAACCCTGAAAAGGCCCTTAACAAAAAAAGACTTCAGCCTTTCCCTGAAGACCCCAAACCCCAATTAAACCCTAAACCCTAAACCCTAAACCCTAAACCCTAAACCCTAAACCCTAGAAGGCCCTAGGAGCCCGAACGCCCCAAAGCCTCTACGCCGACACCCGACGAGGCTATCCGCCCCCTGTGGTGTACAGCCCGCCCCCGGCTCCACAACCAGGCCTGTTCATGCTTAAGGTTTCTGGGTTTAGGGGTTCTTTAAGAGTTGTGAGTTTAGAGATACGGTTTCGAGTTTAGGGGTTTGCGGTGTAAGAGTTCAGGATTTCCGCGGCGGGGGTTGAACTGCAGGCTTTGTGGTGCTTCTGGTGGGTAGGGCCGTTTCCAGATTGTGGTCGTCTTGGCCGGTGTTAAAGAGAGCATTACGTGTTTTGGTGTTCCGCCCTGTTTAGGGGTTTAGGGGTTTAGGGTTTAGGGTTTAGGGTTTAGGGTGGTTTTCAGGGTTTAGGGAGAAGGGCTTCGCCAGACGGTGTGAGCTGCGTCTGAGAGCACAAGCCCAAACTGGAAAATCCTCACCTGCTCGAGCATACTACGACCCTAAAGCTTACTAAAGCCATCAAGCATTCTTCCGGTTGCGATCTTCGCATCTTGGTTGGCTCTAGTTCTTCTTATAAGTCTGCGGATGCGCCTTCAGCCCGAGCTCAAGCGTTCCACGTCCCAATATCAGGAAAGCCTTAAACCCCAAACCCTAAACCCTAAACCCTAGACCTTAAACCCCAAAACCTACACCCAAAACTTCAACATGTCAGGCTATGCCCCTCCGCCGCAGTATGAGTATCCGCCGCAGTATGCCCAGCCGCCGCCGCAGGTGGACCGGGCATGTGAATGATGGTTTCTTTGTATTGCAGGGCTATAAAAGGCGCCATCCCCATCTCGTGCCATGGGAAGAATTCTAGTTTGTCTCCGTGAGCACCATTGTGCTGCTGCTGCTGCTTCTCGTGCTGCTGCTCATGGTGTTGAAGGTCAGATAGTTTGCCATCTACTGCTGCTACTTACTACTACTACTACTACTACTACTACTACTACTACTACTCCTGCTGCTGCTACTACTACTACTACGACGACGACGACTACTACTACTACATTACTACTACT